GAGATTCCGCGTTTTACGAGGCGGAATCGCGACGAGAGACATGACTGATCGCGGTCGTGGGTGTCGTTTTATCGATGCACGGCAAGGCGGAAGGACGTTGACTAATGATATTGCCATAGCAACTTATTTGTTATCGAAATTGCCTATTACTTACCCTATTGGACAATATGTCTACCGTCTTGTCGCTATCGCCCGACTAGAAAGCACGAACTTCTCCTCCAAGACTTCCCTATCGATTATTGCCGTAAGATATTCGTCCCCGGAGGAATCATTCAGCTGCTGCTTTAGTAGCAACTATCAGTAACGCAGAATTAACCGTGAACGGGCTCGTTTCGTGACGAAACTGTTCCTTCTAAATTCTCTTTCAGTCTCACTAATGTTGAACAACGAGTGAGCAATGGACGGTTTTAAAATTGAGTTTAATTGAGCTGAGTACACGTGAGTCTTGTTCAGATTTTCTGTGGTAACATCTCTACTATATCTCGGCTTAATCGAAATTTTGTATGGGAACTCTGCAATGGTAGGTTCCCGTCCTCGGTTCAGGGATACGCATTTTAACTCGTCAAAGTGGGAAATTTTCAGAATTTGTGAAAACGAGATAATGGAGACGTCGTTGTTTCTTGGAGAGTTTCTTAGAGACTACACAACTTTGCTGATAACGCGAGAGAAAGAAGAAACAAGTTATCTGGGGACAAAGGGAAAGAGAAATGGAACGGAACGTACGCAGATAAAGCACGATTATTTTAATTTTGTTCAAAAACTGATTAGAGTTGTTCGAGCATCGGAAAAGATTAGAGCCGACAGCGCGACGTGGATGAACAAAAGATTCGTCGGAGTTCTCATTCTTTGCTAGGCAACGAAACAACTTTGCATTTTGGTGGTAAATTAGTATTACATCGTGTGACAAATATTTCCTTCAAATTATTTTACTTTTACGTACAATTGAGTTTTCGTTCGTTTGTCGAAGGTTTCGCGCACGTGCAAGTTCCACGCTGTTCGGAAATACTTCAGTATCTGTTTATCGTGTGTTCAGTCCACTGGATATCCGACCGGCGTTAGATGGGCAAAACACGATCGCGACAGAGAGAAGAAGCTAGGATTCGTGGCGCCTGATAACGCAGGTTCGTCGTAATGGCAGGTTCATCTCGGGCCGTGTACATGTATCGGAGATAGCAATCGGCTGGTGATTAATTTGATCGTTTGTTTCGCGTCACGTACACGATTCGTGCATAAATATGCTCACGGACAAGCACACAAGTTCGGTTTAATTGAAAGGCGAAACGCGTGCCCCGAGCTTGGAAGATATTAATTAGCTTTCAGAGTTAATCGCGTTCTCCATGATGCCTGCCGCGGTGTTCGCGGGATCTATGCGTTTTCACACGATCCGGCAGTAATATCGCTGGCCGCGCTCGATCGACGGAGTGGGGTCGACGACCCCGAACGGATAAATCATCGAAATCGCGGGAGAATTCACGAGGTTCGACCGGTGGTTCTGCTCTCTGATAATCTCTCCGTGAATATCTCGGTCGTAGACTGAAGGAGAGAGAGAGAGAGAGAGAGAGGGAGAGAGGCAGGTACAAAAGTCTATCGGTATGAAACTTGGAGCTTTCCAGATTTATCTATCGAGAGAGAACTGGAATCGATATTAATAACCGACCCGCATCAAGGAAACGCGAAAGTAGTTTCAGTAATTATTATTACGCGAGTATTGGAAGGGCGAAGCGAGTGGAGAATTGCTTTGATACGGAATTGTCGAATCATTCTGTGCCCGACTCGTTGAACAGTTCTCTGAACTCTCTCTCTCTCTCTCTCTCTCTCCCTCCCTCCCTCCCTCCCTCTCTTTCAGAATAGACGTTCGTTTGAAATAAGTGATTTGCCATTGCGACCGTACAAACGGCTGTGATTTGTACAAATCATCCTTTGAATCAAGCTCGTTACCAAGCTGCTTTGGCAACGAAGTGTATCGTGTATCTCTGTATGAAATCAATATACGAAACTCCACCATTCCCTGTCTCGTTCGAATAACAGTTTCAGCACGCGTGTCATTTCACCGACACAGTGCATCGAATTTAATTGTCCGTTAATTTCTCCAGCGGCACAAATATTGAAACTATGGAACGACGAAGAAGAGACAGAGAGAGAGAGAGAGAGAGAGAGAGAGAGAAAGCAGATGGAGAAATAATTTTCATGTAATAGATTTCAATTTTTGTACTCGAATCTCGAACGCCGTCTGATAATTATTATTCATATTCCATTGGCGTTTCACGCCGGTGTTTAATTACGCCTTTCAAATATTCCGATCGACCGTTTTTAATACGTTCCCATCAAACGTTTATTATCCCGTTGTCATCGGGGGAACAATTTTTCCCGGCGAATAATTTACACGAATCGCGTGTTCGAATCGATTCCGCGCCTCTTCCGTCACGTTGGAAAATATTTGCCGAACGTGTGTTTGTCAAATCGCACGAAGTTCATAATCAGTTCTTGATCTCTGTTGTTGGTAGACTGCGGATTTCCACGCATTTTCGCGCGACTGGAGAAACGGGACCTGACTGGATGAATTTGTTTCATCTGTAAACGTTGTGACGAACACTTTTTGCCTCGGATGTTTTATACATTCCTGCTGAATACTTCGTATCTTCGAATTTCCTACAAATGCATAAAAATTCGCTGCCCAGTCGTTAATAATTCGTGGGAAATTTGAATCACGTCCACGGCCAGTTTTTCCGACCTTCAGAAAAGTACAAAAAAATTTTTCAGACTGCTCAATAGCGCGCAATCAGGTTTGGGGGACCAAGTGTTACAAATGTTGAGGAAAAATTCGCGAGCGAAATACCACTGAGGGCATTAACGAACTAACTAGCCAATGGAGAGTGGCAAAATCCGCGACTGGAAATTTTCGAGCTCCGTTTCTTTTCAACACATTTACTTGAACACGACTTGTCTCTCTGTATTTTCATCGTTTCATTTTTGTTAATATTATCTACACTCTCCCACATTAGCCTGCGTGCTTATTCATTCAAATTCCCCTCGGGCGCAAATAAACATTCGTGGTCGAGCGATCGCGGTGCGCTTTATCAAACCGTAAGCCGACTAATCTCTCGCGTGAATGAAAACGGCTAGAGGGAGGTGGCCTGGAGGGGGGTGAAGCTTTATCGCGTTGGCCGAAAGAATTTCAGGGGGAAAATTGGGAACGATTTTCGTCACGCGGCGAAAATGCACCGCATATTTTTCTTTTTCCTTTTTTTTTTTTCTTTTTTGTTTTTTTCCCTCGCGCAAGTTTCCGTTTGCGCTCGCGTCCACCCGCAGATTTGCCCGTCAGTCCCGCGGCGCCGTGCCGCTCCGCAAGTGCAATTAATCCATAAAATAGTAGGTATGCGCGGTGTGCAACGCATGTTCAACAGCAATTTCATCGTCCAGGCTCTCCTCTTTGTTTGCGCCGAAACGGGTACGCCACGCGGTACGCGCGAGGAAACGTGACACGGACATTTATTCAAAACACCGCGACACGTTTCGTTTGCGCGTCGCGGGAGTGCAATTCGCTCCTAAATCTTTTGTACCCGGTCGCGGCCAGGTGGGAGAGAAGATTTACGGGCGCGTGTGCAATGACTGCTTCAATGACTGGCGCGAATAGTACAGGGGAAATGGGAGGAGGGTAAAGTTCGTCGAAGATTTATTTTACTCGTGAACTGTACGTTTCCTCTGTTTAAAAAAATCTTTTTTATTTGAATTTTTTTCTTTTTTTTTTTTTTTCCTTACGAACGAAGTATAACAACATCGTGAGCACGGTGGATAGTAAGTGGTCGTTCGTTCTACCGATTATTCCTTTCTTATTTCTCTTGCGTTCGACGCGAAACAATGTTACAGTGCTAGCAACGTAAAAAAAAAAAAGAGTAAAATTGTAAACACGAACTTTTTTAAAAACTGTACCAACTGCTGTAAGAGCCCGAAGTGTGTAATGTGTATGTGTTAATATCTTGTTAATTACATCGTTAATTACATAATTTTCAATATTGTATTAGTGAATTTGTACCATCCACAACTAAGACGAGGTATCCACTAGATTGTATACGTACTAAAATCACTGTTCGTGAAACTGAACGACTCTTATCTTACATCATCTAACGAAAGACGTTGCACTTTGGTTTCATTTGGTCTCTACTGCCGTGAACAATTGCAATTCGACTAAAACAAATGACAAATGAGCACCGCTGTAAGCTCGTTACCGTTAGTCAGAACGGCTTTAATTCGCAACAAACCGTGAATTCTACAACCAACAACGTGATACCCAAATACGTGATATGCAATTAGCTAACCCTTTCTTGCTTAACTAACCCTTTGCGGTTTAATATCGTTTAGCGAGAATCGTCGACTATATTCTGAACGCCACCTTTGAATGAGAACAACGATAACTCGATGAATGAACGTAGGAAAAAAAGAAAATAATAAAGTCAAGCGGCACGGTTGAACTTTAGAAAGACACTGCGTGTCATAGAATTAATTAAGAAATTAATTAAATTTTTTCCGCGTTCAAAATTCATTTCTACGTCTCCTCTTTTCTTTCTTGTTGCCTCTGTCAAAGCCGCGTCAAGTTTAATTGCCCTTACGACAGACGTAGTAATGTACGTGGAAATGTTGCACTTTACGGCGAATTTAGAGCGTTCTACCGCTTATTTGTATATTGGATATTCACTACGATAATTAGCGGAATGTAAAATTTGCAAAAATACACGAGTCACGATACAAAGATGAATAAAATGTATTTCAGCCTCTCGGCCTTCTCGTACATTTTGAATTAACTTTCTCAGAATTGTGAAAGTGCGTACGCCTGTCCGCGTATCTGTCTGCCGATAATAAACGAGATAACGTACGTTCGAATACTATCGCGGTGCTTAAACGAGAAACGAGAATCAGCAAGAGGTATACCGTAGAAAGAAAATATTTCACCTCAAAGGGTCGATCCTAATTTTACAACCAAACGCAATTTTTCGTGGAATTCGTTAATCTAGAAGGCCTGCCTTTTCGAATTTTTTTAGTCGTTTCGACAATATCTTCCGGAACGTCGGGTTCCTTGTTCCGGGACTTGTGAATTTATCTTTCTCCCTTATCACGTCGTCGATGGTCTTCACTTCCTCTTTCTCGGTCAGAGCGAATGGCAGTATGTTGAATGACGATACCATCGCGTGGGCCAGTCGTTCGTCCATGGTCCTCTTTAGTTCCTTCATAGTGGGCGGCTGCGTTTTGCAATTGAGCTGTTTCATCGTGGCGACCAGAGTTTTGTGGTACTCCTCGAGCAGATCTTCGCTACTGAGGTTCTCGTCGATTTCCTCGAAGACGCTCGAGTTGAACAAGTAGTGCAGGTCGACCGCTGGCGAACTGTAGAGGCAGAGCTGGAAATCCACCTGAAACAGGCCGATCGAGTCCCCGATCGATGTAGCGACCGGCGGCGAATTGAATTGGAAATGAAATCTGCGCGACGCGCGACGAGCGACGAGCGACGAAAAGAAGCGTGCGAGAGGGACTCGTGTTTAGGAAATCATCGACAGTCGAGGATTCGTGCTCGGTCCTCGTCGCGACAGACAGGTGGGCGATGCATCTAAACGCGATCGAGTCGGATTTATTGCATTATTCATAATACACTGTTTTCCAGCAGCGGAATTCCGACTTCTCGATACGTTTCTTCTCTCGGCTGCCTCTCGCGCGACAGACTTAAACGTTTGGTAATTCGACAGTGACGTCGAACACTGCGAATAGGAACGAAAAACCGACGTATTTTTTTGGGTGTGCATTTTTATCACTAAACGCACCAACACCTGGTCAAATAACCGGTTTAAAAACCTGATTTAAAATTCCGCATTCATTTTATTAATCCGTTCGTTCATTTAATTGGCTCGTTAAATTGACAATTATCTGTGTTCCTCTTGTAAAAAAATGGGGTTTCTCTTTACTTGATGTGTATATAAAGTGCCGGTACGTTTTGTGTTATATTAACATTTGCAATTTGTAACAAACATAATGCGGTAATAACTTACATAAATATGCTCGACAGGCTTGCCATTTTTGTCGTATCGGAACATCATGTTGTTCGTCCACGAGTCCCCATGATTTATGACGTTGAACTCGTCGTCTTTGCGTTTCAGCGCCTGGACTTCCACACGGTGTGCCTTTTCGGCGAATTTCCTAATTTTCTCCGCGTACCTAAAGCGTAAATTTCGACGTGTCACGATGGATTTGACTTCGACGGTGTAAACAATTAATAGACTGTGGATTTTTATGCAATCGTAAGAAATTTCAGGGCGTAGACGAGCGCCTGCAAAGTACTTGTTACAATATTTAACGAGAACGAACTTTTACTTGGGTCTCATATTTTTCATATGAAATCACATGAACATCCACAGTCTAACAACTGCATTGTATTTTCACGAGCTTCACCTTTTTCCGTCTTGTGGCCATTTTTCTACTTCATCTGCAAGACCAAGAACGCCAGCTTTAAAGAATTGTGATAATTCTTCTGGAGTCTCTTCGTTGAGTATCCCTCTCCAATATATTAACTTTTGTTTCGGCTCCTACGGAAGCACAGATCATTTATTATATTAGTATTTGCCATAGTTATTCGTAATTGCGAAACTTCTTAATTCTTAACCGTGTTCGAGTGTTCAGTGAATATTGAATTATTTAATGAGAATGTATTTTATAGAAAATTTGGCCACGAAATAGAAACAAATGCATAAAGACAATCGTCCGTCCGTTGTACTAAATATAATTTAACAAGGAAGAAACACGTGTTTAATCATTTTATCGACCACTTGGAAATATAATAGCGAATATGATGATGAGACTGCGAATTTTCATGCGTTTGTTTTCATCACGAAAGGTTCGATCTTTCGCCGATATTGCATAAATATTCGCAGTGCAATGATGAATTTGTAGACCATGTCACAATCATGTTACCTTGTCGCACAAAGCAACTGAAGCTGCGTGGAACCTGGCTAATCCTCGAACGGCCAGTGTCGCGTGTTCCTTATCGAGGCCAGTGTGACGATTGGCCATACGAAAGTTCAAAGGAGCCAGATCCTCTATGATCAAGCACAGCGGCCGTTCCAGCTTTGCGTAATAAGTCTGTGCACTGACGCGACTGCCCAGCAACTCGCTCATCTTCCGCAGTGTGTTCGTCATCATGAAGATTTCAATGTCGAAGATTTGTGATTTCACGATCTTACAAAACATTCAGAAACATCTGCCGTGAGATACACGAAGTCTAAAGTCACCTACTTCTACGTTCTTTCTTTCTTTTTTAAATGCAATTTTTCTACCCAGATTCTGTAGGTGAAACAACTTGAAACCAGAGTCGGACATTTTTCTTTTCTACATGAATTTTCCCTTTAATGAATATTAAGTAGTGTCGTTTCTTCATACTGCAAAATTTTATTTTATTTAAAAGTTAATACAGTCTTTATCTATAATATAATTTAACAATAAGCACACTGCGTATCAATGTGTTTAACTAGAATATACAATAAGTTAAATGGCAATGTGTTTATTAAATTTGAAAAAAAAAAGAAATGACATTACACATGGGTATCCCCAATATTTCTTTTATTTATTTTTTTTTTTACTTTATAATTGTATAATCATTTTTTCTCCCGTACTCAAATTCTTCTTTCATTGAATGCTTTAACTTTTTAAATTATCCTAATACCACTTTTTAAATTATCCTAATACCACGATCAAAGAGAAAGAATATTGAAAAATATTTTTTCACTAATTCCCTTTTAAACCGAGCACTATCTGAGGATTAACCCACTTGCATCATCGCTCTATTTAAGCTGCCGCGTTGAAATATCAGCGACGTTCAA